AAACGATTTTAAATATAGTAATGTTACATGCACTAACCCTTAATATTTCAAGAAAAAACAATCTTAAATATAATGTTACATGCAATAAACATTAATATTTCAAGAATAAAAGGATTTTAAGTGTAATAATATGACTAAAACTGTACTAACATAGTATATCACAAAAGTTGTAGGAAATATTAAAAATCTGCAAATAACAGGATTACTTCTATTATATTCTAGTATATTTTTCCCCTCTGGCTTGTGTCTTTTTTTCTGAGGTGGATTTCTTGTAGACAGCATAGAGTTGGGTCATGTTTTTGAATCCATTTCGCTACCTTTTGATTAGAGCATTTCATCCATTTACATTTAGGGTTATTATTGAGGTACTTATTTATAGCCACTTTAATTCTATATGGCTAGGTTTCTCTCTGTGTTTCTTCTTCTCAGCAATCCCTTATAGCAATCCCTTTAGCATTTCTTGTAATGCTGGCTTGGTGGTGATGAGCTCCTTTAGCCTTTTTTTTTCTTTTTTTTTTGGTCTGGGAAGCTCTTTATTTGAGCGTCTATTTTGAATGACAGCGTTACTGGATATAGCAATCTTGGTCTCAGATCCTTGCTTTCCATTACTTTGAGTACTTCATGCCATTCCCTTCTGGCCTGTAGAGTTTCTGATGAGAAATCAGGTGTCAGCCTTATGGGAACTCCTTTGTAGGTAACAGTTTTCTTTTTTCTTGCTGCCTTTAAGATTCTGTCTTTAATTTTTGCCATTTTAATTATGATATGCTTGGGTGTTCTTGTTTGGAGTTCTCTAAGTTGAAAAAGTGTAACTTTTTCCTTTACCAGGTTAGGAAAGTTTTCTACCATTACTTCTTCAAACACCTTCTCTATTCCTTTCTCCCTTTCTGCCTCTTTTGGCATACTTACTATTCTAATATTGTTACGTTTCACATTGTCCCACAGCTCCCGTAAGCTGTCCTCCTGTGTTTTAATTATTTTTTCTTTTTGGTTCTCTAATTGAGTGATATTTTCTTTTTTAAATATATTTTATTGATATTTTACAGAGAGGAAGGGAGAAGGATACAGAATTAGAAACATCAATCCGCTGCCTCCT